AAACGTTGGAAATTGTCCCATACATCTTTGATAATCTTTGGGGTGTCATATACCATTGATATGCCATTTTATAAAAGTTTTCTTTCAAATTATAACATAAAGTAAATTTTAATCCTTTAGACCACATATTTTCCCATTGTGTTTGGTTACATTTCCAACAAACGTTGGAAATTGTCCCATACATCTTTGATAATCTTTGGGGTGTCATATACCATTGATATGCCATTTTATAAAAGTTTTCTTTCAAATTATAACATAAAGTAAATTTTAATCCTTTAGACCACATATTTTCCCATTGTGTGCTTTTAGAATGTTTGAAGAACCACATAATGGAGATGATTAATTGCTCCTGGATCTGTTATATACTTGAAAGGACTGATTCTTTACATTCCACGGCTCTGTAAACTTTGTAAACCATTTGAAAAAAGCTGTAGACAGGAAGTGACAAAACAGTGGCTTTCTGCCTTTCCTCTGCATGGAAATCCATGCAGAGTTTTCTATTTCTCTTTTTTCTCCCTTACCAAAGAAGATCCTTCTTCATAACACAACCCTGTTTCTTTGCAGAAGAAAGCAAGAAGGACTCCATGTTCTCTACCCAGTGAAGATGATGAGTTGGGGGGAGGCTTTGGGAAAGGGACAGAGTTAATACCCTGACCTTCACAGGGCACATGCTGAGTCTGGTGGATTTTACAGAGCCCAGATGTCTGAAGGACTTATCCCCGAAGTATGCAGTTTTTAATTTTTTAAGGAGTGACCTAGGAAATAAAATAACTCTAGTGAACAAAGAAGTCTTATGTCTTTGAATATTGCCCCAAGTTTATCCTGCAAAGTTTTCCAGATCAAGGTATTTCACTAGTACAGCAACACAATCTCCCTGCAGAAGGCTTGCAGTTCTGACATATTTGTGTCCTGATACTGTTGTTTCCATGAATGGGGAAAACCTGTTACAGGCCTGCAAATGACATTTTATTGCTCTGGGCTGCAGGAGATAGTGTATGAGACTTTTGCCTCATCCTGCCCCTCAGTTCCTGGGTGATTACACAGTTCATTATTCCTTCACTTCCCCAATTCCCCCATTGTGGCAATACACCAGTGTGGTAGGAAAGGTAACCAAATGCAGAATTGCTGCAATGCTGGGATGATTATTTGCAAGGCTTTGGAAGGCCACAAAGGTTGGCTGCCAAGTTTTTAGGGTTTTAATATGCTCTTGTTTAATTGATCCTCCCTTAGACAGATTGCCTTCAAACTGCCTCTGGGCGTTTTCCAAAATAATGGACAAGCGTTCCCATATACATATGCAGGAATATATGGAGCGTAGGAGGTGGTGATTGCTGGCAGTTTATTTTCTTTTCATTTTGTGAAGAAAGATTTTGGTGTAGTCTTGGGCACAGCTTAATCTGACATGGCAGGATGAGCTCTAAATGTTTAAACACAGAGACATAATCACAGCCATAGCTTTGAATTAAGCTCCAACCAGTCAAAACTGCTTAGATCAATTTTAGGTTCGTATCAAGGACAGTCGTAAAAGCTGAGAAAACTGTCCCTTTCTTAGCTCTGCACACAAATACAACATGATTGAGAATACACATGAAATTCTGCATTTAGGAAGCGTGCCCTATATACGTGCAGCAGACCCAAGGTTTAAATTCTTCCCCTTTCCTTTTTGAGTTAACTAACCATTGGCAGCCCTTTTCTTGGCCTTGAAGCTTTCTGCCATCTGTTCTTTGTTTACTAAACTGCTTTCTCTGGTGTGAGAACCTAGGGCAGCTTCAACCCTTGCGATAATTACTTCGTGACTCTTGCTTTTGTCCAGAAAATAGTCTAATTTTTTGAGAGAGTGCAGCTGTGGGCAATCAATCATCGTGCTATCTCCAAAGCAGGAAACAATAGCAGTTTGGTGCCTTATTTCAAATTCAACATCGTTTGCATAAAAAATTCCTATTTAAAAGAAAATAAAGGAAAATGTTACTGTTCACCCATGGTCGCTTTCATCAGTATACCTAAACTGCTAAAAATGGTTATTCTATTGAACATGGAGGCTGGTGGATCAGAATTGCTCTGATACTGTTTCTGCCAATCTCTTTAGTGTCCTCAGGATTATAGGCCTGCACTGTTAAAAACATTAAGACTGTCAGTAAAGTAGGAGTTAATCTAAAGCCCACAATGAATTCGCAAGCAGATGGATTAACCAGTAAGCAGTGTCCACTCATAAAAGTAAACATTGGTGTAAAGATGATGGAAGAAAAATCTGGATTGAGTTTCTTTTGTCCCCCACCAGATTGGGTAGGGCAGCTGTAAGATAGCTTTATAAAAATACATAAAAATCTATTTTAAAAACCAATCCATATTACTAATCTGTTTTTCTTGCACGCACAAACGTTCCTTCTGAAATACCCAAGCTTAAAATGCAAGCAATGAAACTTCATTTCCGTGCACCCAAAAATTTGCAAGATTTAATTGGCATGCTAAGACAATGAGACAAAGGTACGGCGTGCTCAGAAATAATTTTGCAAAATCTACTAAACTTGCTGATACAATGAGACAGCACTATGGTGCACTTCAGTGTGTGTTTCTACATTTATTTAGGCAGACTAGCAGTTAAAACGATGCTTAGAATTAACTGAGGAACATTTTTTCCCAAGATTTACTATGTGAATCTACAAAGTGGGACAAAGTTGTAATGCACCCAGAAATAAATTTTCAGGACTTATTAGGTATGTCTGTTGAATACAATAGCACTTCAGTGTTCTCAGGTGTTATTTTGCAAAATCTGCCAGATGTTTCTTCTGATGAGACAATACTACAGTGCACTCAGATAAGTTTACAAGATATACTAGACGGCTTGTTGGATGAGACTGTATTATGTTGCACCCAGAGATAATTTTGCAAGATACACTGTATGGGCTTCCTGGATGAGACAACATTACATCCAGAAATAATTCTGCAAGATCTACTGAACATGCTTATTGGAAAAGACACTGCTCCAGTGCACTCAAGGCAGAAACGTTTGCAAGATTTACTAGGCACCTGGACTGAATGGAATGCAGATTCCTTCTATTCTTTGCATGCGTTTAATCATGTCTTGTAGAAAGTTGGAAGGAATGAGACAGACTTTCGTGGGTGAAATAACTTGTCAGAAGCAGCATTTATTAAGAGTATAAATAAGAGTTGCTTGGGTTGTGGCAGGATATATATGGAATATAAAAAATTTAATTCTTGGTATTCTATTAAAGTTGATTCGGTATTGCAATTTGACTACCCCTTATTATTTAAAATAAAGATAATTTCCTACTATAATAAGAGTAGGAATTGCTTATTGACTAACACACCTTTGGTGTGAAACATTCCTCTTAAATGTTCATCATCAGAAACATAAGCAATATACTTTCAGCTATAAATATTGATTATTAAAATACCCAAAAGCCCTGTTTTGTATCGTCTTGACCCAATCAATTATCTCTGGCAGATCTTGCAATCAATTCCTATGTTGCAAAGGCAGCTGATCTTAGCTTGCGGATTAAACTTCACAGAATATTAACACATAAAGATCATTTGTCAACATGTATGGGAAGGAAGCAGATTCCAGTCTCTGTCAGGTTCCTTTCTGAGAAGGAAGTTTGGCTTAGATTAATTAGATTGCTCTGCAGACCCCTCCTCTTGGCACAAAATAACCCTTCCCCATAAATCATCTCTCCAAGAGATTGTCCAAGCTCCCAAACAGGTGTTTTAGGAGTTAACAAAAGCATCTTTACATTGTAGCACCCCTTATGTTCTGTATCCCATCTCCCTAAATATCAGAGGCCAGTGCTTTGAAAGTTTTGCTTCACAGGCATCCCAAAGTGGGTGCTAAGCTGGATGCTGTCTTGGATGGGCTACAGTAGTTGAGAGCTTTCTGTAGATGCATGCCTATAAATTGATGGTTCAGTCATTCCATCTGCAGCAATTTCCTGTATATTATGCAACTGGTATGATAATAGCTGTAACTGTATATTTGTTATAGCTATTATCACAACGGGAGACCAATTGCAGTCTGTTCAGCTGAACTCTGAAACAATTGTGGTTATGAAGAAATGGATCTTCCCAATGGATCTTCAGTGAATCTTATTGACGTAGGCTTTTTGACAATGCTGGATGTTCAAGAATAGGATAGCCCACATTTCAGCGTAATAGTCCCCAAGGAGGGCATTTCAGCTCTGGAGGCATTGGCATGGTATCATATGCTATATGATTTCCAGGAAGTTGGATGAGGGAGGAGACTCCTGATTTTTATCCTGGGCTACTTAACCAAAAGGTCAGAGAAGTCTTAAATTCTACAAGCTGTAAAATATTTGTGAAAATGATCTGTATTGTCAACAAGCTGTATTTGAAGGATGTGATCAAAGCTATGGATAAGAAGAAAAGTGGTCCAGGGTTTCCAGGATGTTGTACCAACAGTACAAAGCCATGGAATATTGTGGTCAGCCATTCAATGCTCTATAGTAAGCCAGAGGAAACAAAATAGTTGCTACTGTAGAAGAACCAGACCATCTCTTATGGAACCTTCGGATATCTAAAGTCAAGATGATGAATCCTGTGCATGTTCCTGGATGATGATAAGATCTAGCAGCAAACATTATTGTGATACAGTATTGGCAAGAAAGAAGGGGAATGTTCATCAGGAGAAATGCCCTGGCCTTCTCATTCTGAGTGCTGAGGAGGAGATACTGAGTTAAAAACAGGCAACCTTCATCAAGCTTCAACTATCAGAAGTGCTAATTTCAGGAAATCATTTCCATGTTGCCCACACTTCCTGTAGCATCTAGACTGCAAGCAGCCAGTCTGAATGTTCAGTTTTATGCATAACTCTGTTAACAGCATAGGCGTTCAAGCCTTTGTCAAAACCCCAAAGGTGATATTGTATTTTCTGCATTGACCACTCAATTTCCTTAACCAACCAACATTTGTATCTTTTTAGTTTGCTGTTTGTTTTTTGATCTAAGAAAACATCTGAGAGTACTGGTACATGGAAATTATTTATTGGTGTTTACTTCCATAGCTATTCGATACCGTACAAAAGATGGTGTTTCCAGGATCAAATACATTGAAGGAAAAAGTTGTTTTTACACAGCCTGCAATAAGGAACTTGGAAGTTAATTCATAGGCTAGGAACAAAAATGGGGTGGGAATTATTGGATTTGGTGAGATTTTCCTTGAGCCATTGCTAGAAGATTAATTGAACAAAGGCAAAGTTTCAGAACCTTGAGGTTGTGAGCAAATTTTATGAGAAAGTTGTGGGCTTCAGTTAAGTTTTGGGGTGAGGAATTCTTTTGGCCTGGAATGATTGGGAGGAAAGTTTCAAGAAATGTAATGGTGGCAGTTCCCCAAGGTGAGTTATCTAGGAACGGAGAAAGGATTAGGCTTAGAGATATATGGTTTGAAGAATGCTGTGAATAGCTGTGCTTCTCAAAGGAGAATGTAGAAGGAGCCTCATTTCTTCAGCCAAGCAGAGAACAATTGAATTGGTTGGAAGGTTAAGGCCATACTAATCCTTGGCTATCATAAAAATATTCAGGTAGAGAAAGTACATGTGCTTGAATGGAAGGGAACAAACTAATATTAAGTGAAATTAATGTAATGGCCTAAAACCAAAATGAGGAACTCTTTTATTGTGATCAAAATATTGATGGATCTGTCTGTGGTCTCTAAAGAAAATCTCCCCCCATACTTTAAAAATGGATTCATGTTCTTCCTTCCTGAAATTTATTTCTATTTTATTAGCTTTAGGGTATTCTTCCTAATGCCTGATTGAAAGAGAGCTTTCACTTGCCTTAATAAATGCTGCTTGCCATATAGCAATGGTCAGCTATAACTCTGTGGTAACAGCCAGGTTCTACCTAAGGAATGAAGCTGGCCCGTGGTGCTTTCCTTACAGTTGTAATGTGGGTTGCATTAAGGAAAGTGATGGGTGGATTTTCCTGACTTTGCTTCCCTTACTTTCAAGGGTCACCTGCTGGTGGGAAAAGCAACCACTAATTGGTCTCCTTAACATGTGATGTGGTAGGGTTAGACAAGTATAGGTGGGTACCAGGGACAGGCTTCAGCCACCTTTCAAGTTGCCTGAATGACAGGTCATCAAGGTGAGGGAAGCAGCACTAGATCCATGTTCAGACCTATTGATAGGTCAACAGGTATAGAGGAGAGGTTGTAAGGAGCATTGGGGTGCTGTCATACTTGTAATGCACCCCTTGGTATGGGAACCAGCAACATGCACGTCATTAAATTGATCATCTGTGCAACATAGGATTAGTGCTTCCTCAAGAGTGCTAGTTCTGTTTTTCAGAAACAGGACCAATGCTCTTTCAGAAGACTTACATTTGTATAAATAAGGAGTCCGACCAATATCTGACAAGTGTTTTAGGAAGTGCTGGCCAGGCATCATAGAATCAGATCCTCTGATTCTAAATACTAAAATGCCTATGGATTGCAGTGCCCCATTACTAGAGATGAGGGGTATGCCTTAAATAGTCCTAAGTAGCCAATTGGAGCTGGATTGCCATGTCAACCACCACATTGTCAGTGAAGTAATCTAGGTCATGCCCATTGTGTTTGGGGAAAAGGAGAAATGGTAGTTTAATATTGTAATAGCTTTAAGCTGCCTCAGCTGTGGATTGAAGAAAGGTAATGCCATGATACAGCATTAAAAAAATGATTACTGGGACATGTTCATACCATAGTTAGGAAAACAGGAGGATGACCCCTATGATCTGCACTGTTGATCACACCCCCAATCTGTTGTAATGGCAGGATATTAGGGGTGTAGTTTCCTCCAGATAACACAGTTTCTGCATCCGTCACAACACAATTAAGCACAAAAGTCTATTAGAGAAATCTTCACAAGTTTAATAGTGGTAAAGGGATCTTTCCCCATCCTTTTATTATTTTCTGAATATTTCTGTCCTAAAATTAACCAGGAGAATTTTATGTTCTAATGGTAGGGTTTTGTTTGTTTTTTTATTGTGGACTTGTTGCTGGTGCACATTTGAGTGGAAATATCTTGCTTGTGGGAAACTCCAGTTGGCAGAAGTATTAGAAATTATTATGGTCAAAAATCTTACAGGGCCAGATCTCAAAACAGACTACTGAAAACTGAGTGGTTGTGGAATGCTAACTGATGAGGGAGAAAGGGTTGAAAACCAAGAGTGAAGAATTTGGAATATATGATTGCATATGAGTTTTATTCTGAGACATTACGTTTCACGTCCCTTATTTCTACCAATTCCCAAACTAAATCACATAATTTGCCCAGCTTTAA